TAGAAGTTAATATACATTTTAAAATATATATTATATGTATAAATATATTTAAATATACATTATATATACATTGCATATATGTATATTGCATATACGCATATCTCTCCTAATTACACCTTTTACTTCCCGCTTAAGGTGACTAGCTTTAAATTCGCCCTGCTAAAATTTTAACATTTTTGCATCTTCACAAAACTTAATAATTAAATGCTGAACATCGTTCTACCGTATCATCAAGTGAACCATTTTTACCAAACAGCGTTTTAACTGCCACTTATATGATTGACATGATGCTCTGTAAATCAAGTCTGTAAATGGATTTTGGAGCTGAGCTTGCATTCAAGGAATATAAAATTAAGAGGCTATGCAGAAGAACACTGGCTGGTGTGTAAGGGTGATCAGTTCATGGCCCATTTAGACTGGGGGAAGGTGGGCTCCACCTCGGATAGCACACAAGAGTTACGCCATGTCTGATTTGAAATATTAAGGTAACAGACAATGTAAAAATATTTCATATTACAGTACTACGATGCTTCGGCTAGGCAGCTCCTTTTGTCTTAAAGTAAAACGAGCATCAAAATTACAGTGCATCCATGAATACAGTATCATCGTATTGTGTTATTACGTTGCAGAAGGCGAGTACAAGACGAAAAAAAAAGATAACTCTCGAATTGAATGGCAATTATTATATTTTTATTCAATGACGAAGGAAAACAGTACGTTTCCATTTTATACCAAAAAAAAAGCCACTCCCTCGAATAAACACCTCCCTCGAAAATGTCTCTCAAAAACCCTTCTCATAAACGCTCAAATACGGTACATTAATAATGTCTAAATTTTACTACTTAAATAATTAATTATCGTCAGAAACCAATAGGCATTTTCAATGACAAAAGAAAACAGTGCAAAAAAAAAAAAAGAAACAAAATCTATCGTGTTAAAAATCATTCAAAATATATTAATAATACTACAGCATAGTAAATAATTATCGTCAGAAAAGGTGTTCATAGCAATGCATTAACGCTTGATATAATTATCATTAAGAAACTCTAATAAAGAAAAAAAAAATATTATTCTAATTATTAAACAAGGAAAATCTTTAATAATATTTTAATATACAGATATGTTGGCTGTTCATTGATCGATTAGTTGGATTTAGATTGATTGATTAACTGATAAGTATGTTTTTGGTTGATTGATTAAATTTGTTATCATAACCTTATTGTACGTACATAAGCAAATACAAAATGTGGCCAGGAAATAGATGGTAATCAAGCTTGGCCGACCTCTCTTAATTACAATCATCATAATCATAACACATTTAAATACTAATAATTATAACACATTTAAATATGAATAATTATATTTAAAAAATAACAAAAACTGAAATTAAATGGCATCATTCAAATATACTGTGATGAAAGTAATTCCTGAAGTTGAACAGAGCTATTATTTAAGCTTAATTTAAGTGGAATTTTATTCCAAATGATAACGCCCGAAGAAGCAATTCTAAATTTACCAGGATTTTTATGACCTGGAGGGATGGCTAAATTAAAATCATTGTTAAATCTTTTATAATATTCATGATCAGTAAAAGCAAAATAATCGTTTAAATCATGAGGAAATCAGCTATAAAATAGATAGGAAATAACTTAGAAACACATAAGTTATGAAGTAATATTTGAAGAAATTTAAATAAGGGGAAAGAATGAGCTTTGAAATTCGAAAAAGTTATACATCTAGCACACATTTCTTTGCGTAACTAAAAGAGACTTAAAGTGCTGCCCCATATCTCAATGCCATAAGTCAATAAGGTTGGATGGCAGCATTGTAAAGCATAGATAAATAATCGTAAGAATGCCTACTAGTTTCTTAGGTTTATTATTCAAATCATTAATTTGTTGTTAAAAGAAAATTGTCCAAAATAATATTGATAAAGAGAATTGAATCAGTTTCAGAAATTAGATTATCCTTGATCTTGATTGAGCCGTTTATAATTATATTCTCATTTCTTGAACGAAAATTAAAAACTTATTTTTTATATTAACTGTTAATTTGTAGGCATTTCAAAAAAAAAAAACTAAAAAAAAAACAACAAAAAAAAAAAAAAAAACCAAAACAGTAGAATTTGGTAGACCATTAATATGGATAAAAATAAATAACGCTCAGTACCGATCCCTGAGGAACACCACATTTGTTAGCTAACATATTGGACTTATTATTATTATATTAGAAGACACAAACTGAAATAATCTATTACCGGTACTATCTTAGTGACATATTATGTTACTAAGATAGTCAGAAACCCAATGCAAAGGGCGATCCACTCCATAATGACCTAATGTAGAAATTAAAATATTGTGATTTTGTATCAAAAGCCTTAGAAAAATAAATAAAAATACCAAGGACACATTTTGAATTACCTAAATCCAACATGCTGGATTATCGATTGACAAATTAGTTGACTGATGTTGGTTGGCTGGTTGATTGATTGATCGATTTTTTTGGTTATAGATAGATTGATTGATTGGTAGATTGGTGTCCTCAAAATAAAGAGTAATGATCAACAAACATTTATCGTTTTGCTGGAGAGAATGATTTACCCATTTATTGGCAGGTTTATTTATTGATGTATTTATTTAAATATTGATTGGAAATTTGATTGGTTGGTTGATTGATCGATCGATTATTAAAAAATGATTGATTAGTAGTTCTGATGATTGTTTGGTTAATACACACCACAGGATAAATAATAATAAAACAAATATTGGATTTTTTGATAACTGATTATAAAACATCCAATAATAATAATAATAATAATAATAATAATAATAATAATAATAATAATAATAATAATAATAATAATAATAATAATAATAATAATTTCTTTATTTCAACAATATTTTTAAGGTGGTTGATCCAGCTAGAGCTAATCAATTTGGACCCTCTGTAGATACATTTAAGACTAAAGAATAAAAGATAAAACAGAGAAATGAAAATCAAAAATTGTTTATAAAATAATGAATAATAATAATAATAATAGTAATAATAATAATATAATAATAATATTAATAATAATAATAATAATAATATTATTAATAATGATAATAATAATAATAGCAATGATAAAAAAGTCATCGCTGTCAGTTTGTAATTGTAACTTGCAAATAGTAGAAAAATATGAATATGATATCAATATACTGTAAACAGTCAAATCATCAAGAAAATAAAATTAATGCTGCTCAGGATAATTGAAGCCTTTATATCCCATAATAATTATCCATTAATGCAAAGATCGTTCTTACGTTTTTGAAAGGTCGTTTCAAGTAACAATATTATTAGGACATCTGTTGTCATTCATATTCATTAATCGATTATAGTACAATATTCTTAAATACTTTATTTTGACTTGATAGACTGCCATGCCTTTTAAGCTATGTTTTTTTTTATAAGTATTTTACGGAGACGTCTTGCCGTTACAGAATAAAAATGGCAAGTGCGTAGTAACGTTAGTTGTTGGTAGGTCTACTGCTTTACAGAGAAATTTATGAATAAATAAAATTAATTGGTAATAAAAGATAATACTATTTATCATTCTATAAAAAATGACAAAAAGTTTACAAAAACACCACCAATTTATGAAATTGTGTAAGACATGGCATGATACAATACGAATGTCGTTGATATTGGCAACAGGATACACTGCAACAGTCTCATTCTATATGGTTTTGAAATAACGAACAAACCATATGCCTAATCGTATCATATAAATGTCATGTAATACATGTAAGTATTATCTCCATAATCATATCAGTAAATCGAGGTCGATGCTGATGCCTCTCTTCAATTGTTCAAAAGTTTAAACTCCTGAATAATCATTAGCGAAGGATAAAAGACGCCATTATTTGTAGTTTCAATCCGTTTCTGTACTGGGTATGATACCTATAAAAAACAAAATATATGACGGAATGAAAAGAGACGCAAAATAGTATTTTTTTTTCTTGTTTTGGAAATTACCCTCCTTTATTTGTCTCTTTTTGATGGTTTTCCGTTTTCATTAACTCATACATACACGATTATAGAGTACTGGTAGTTACATTCAAAACGTTAACGATACAAGGCGACGGTGTGTTTATAATTCATTACTGTACAAAAAATAAATAAAAGAAACGGCGCAAGTTATAAAAATTGACTTTGAGAGGAAATCTACAAAAATAAACTTGTGACATGGAAGATGATGAGAAACTGCAATTGAATCTGCAAAAAGGACGATAAATTTATCCGAAAATTTGGGGACGAAATTAATGTGATACTGGCACAATGTCCAGATTCGTTCAGTACGTTCCATCAATGAAATTTTTGTCTAAAAAAATGTAATAAACTTTTGAGAAAAACGAATTGTCACATTCGGGATTTGAACCCAATACCTTTCCGACTACTGTTCGGCTTGTAGTGTACACCCTTGAAAATTGCGCAATTAATAATAGTAAATCACATGATAGTAACTTGTATGAAAAACATCTTCACTGAAAAATATATAATATTACTTATTATAGGATTTATTATTAAACTTACAAACATTATTGTTAATTATTCAAACAGTCATTACTTTTTTAAACGTGATTATTCTCGTCGTGTATTTTTTTCAGTTGATCTATTCGTTATCCAGATGGAATGAATCCGTCATGTTGTCCAGAAACAATTTGCCATGTTGAGAGTCCATTCTTGGAAGACTGCGTCGGAAACCATAGATCCAAATATGTGTGTTGCAAGACTTGCAATTGCCTTTTCAAAACAATTCTGGTCCATTGATTTATGTTGCATCTGCTGCATTAACCTGGTCGATTACAATCTGAAAAATCTCCGAAAACTACCATGCCCGTTAAAAAATTCAATTAATCTCAGTAATGCTGTAAAAAAATTGGTTAGTCGATACCATGGAGGAAATATATCATAATATATATATCCTCCATGGTGTATATGTATCTTAAATAAAACTAACCTATACCATTCTTCATCATATTCACCGGCAGAGTTCGCGATTGACTGATACACTTTAACAAACTATCATGGAGCTGTAATTATTATTACAGGTCCATGTTAATTTGACACTAAGTACGTTACCATTAGTTGTTCTCACACCAGAGGTCGTATCATTCGAATACTCGCTGGTATCTTTATCTGCAATTTAAACGATTAAACAACTACAAGAACTTGTTCACACTATCATATTTGAAGCGACATTAATATCTAGATGACATTTTTCTATATATCGCCCTTATATAAAATAAATAAATAATAATAATAACAATATTGTCGACTTTTAGAGCGCATATTGTTTTAGAGATCTCCATGCGCTTAATAGTATTACCCCCGGTCATTGGGTCAAGCACATATGATACACACTCAGGTCCCTGGGGGGAATTCCATAATATTGCAGCTGTAATCAGCGCATTTTGTGTTTGAACCTACCATGTACCCACTTATACTCCTTGGTGGAAAGAGACAACCGTAGATAAAGTGCCTTGTCCAAGCGAACTGCACGGCGATGAACCGTCATAATAATATTTATATATTTTTGTTGATTAGCAATTATAAGATGTATAAAGATAAAGATAATCAGTAGTTCTGACAAGATAAACAAATTGATTGGGATTGTGATATTAATATTGTTTACCTAAACATCTTTCGCCTGTGTAGCCAGGGTGGCATTTTGTATTCACATTACAGCCTCTGGAAGGATGACACTCAGTAGCTTTACAATGACAATCTTGTAGACAGTCAGCGCCATACTTGCCAGCTTCACATTCTGAATACAACAATATACCATTAATATATTTTAAAAATTACTGGTAATTGCATATATATATTTCTTGTATTACAATTTTGGTCATTGTCGTTGTCATGTCATCGTCACTGTAATCTTCATCATCATCATCATCATCATCAGCAGCAGCATTATCATTATCATTATTATTATTATTATTCTTATTTTTTATTATTATTATTATTATTATTGCTGCAATATAACATACGGGTGGGTATCTGAATTAAAAGTTAACTATCTTCTGACTTATTGGTTTATTGTCGTGATTCTTTTAACTTCAGGACAATATTGTCGACTTTTAGAGCGCATATTGTTTTAGAGATCTCCATGCGCTTAATAGTATTACCCCCGGTCATTGGGTCAAGCACATATGATACACACTCAGGTCCCTGGGGAGAATTCCATAATATTGCAGCTGTAATCAGCGCATTTTGTGTTTGAACCTACCATGTACCCACTTATACTCCTTGGTGGAAAGAGACAACCGTAGATAAAGTGCCTTGTCCAAGCGAACTGCACGGCGATGAACCGTCATAATAATATTTATATATTTTTGTTGATTAGCAATTATAAGATGTATAAAGATAAAGATCATCAGTAGTTCTGACAAGATAAACAAATTGATTGGGATTGTGATTTTAATATTGTTTACCTAAACATCTTTCGCCTGTGTAGCCAGGGTGGCATGTTGCAGTCACATTACAGCCTCTGGAAGGATGACACTCAGTAGCTTTACAATGACAATCTTGTAGACAGTCAATTCCATATTTGCCAGCTTCACATTCTAAATTTAGACACAAACCAAGTAACGAAACATCATGGAATTGCTGTAGCTAAAACAAATTAATGGCCATTATGTTCATATAACAAAAAAAAATCATAAACTGTCGGTACACCTTGTGTACAAATACGGTTTTTGAGGTATACAAACTGATTGGTTTTTCTCGGCGTTTCTTGTTTATCGTAGTCCCTTGAAATCTTCTTTTTTAGCGCTCTCTCTTGTTGCTCTCCAGCAAACTCGCTATGTGTAAACAAAAAAATAAATCTATAATCAACCCAAGTGAAACTGTGTTATGCTTGTAGATTGCAATTGCTTTACTTGTCTGGAAGGAGTGCCGAGTAGGTACTGGAGCGATTAGCTTAGAGTCCTTCCAATGAATTTGTTGATTTTCTTTGACGAGTAGAATGATGGATGACTTTTGGTATACACCACGTCTTCCATGACCTTGATGTTCTTTGCGTCTGATGTTGAGGTCTCTATCAGTCTCTCTAATGTAGACTTTTACTACATTCACATGGGTCCTGTATACCCCTGGACGGTTATTGGGCGATGGTTTATCCTTGTGTGTGTGTAGTATCCACTAACATTTGTTAGGTGTACTATGGTAAATTTTGATGTTGGCTGAGTTGAGATATGTGAGGTGGGCCTCTATAAGTTAAGGCGATCGTACCATATTCATCTCACCGAAACGTCGAGACAACCAACCAGTGGTTTTACCTCAAAAACCACATTTTTACACATGGTGTACTGAAAGTCTAATGATTTTGTTATTGATAGTCGCCATGCAAACCGTTAAGAAATATTTAATATTTTTGCTGATTAGCAATCGATTTAGAAAAGATAAAACATAATCAGTAGCTCTGCCAAGATAACAAGCAAGTTGATTGTTGTGATTTAAATATGTGTTACCTAAACATCTTATGCCTGTGTAGCCAGGGTTACACGTTGCAGTCACATTGCAGCCTGTTGTACGATTACACTCACTAGCATCACAATGACAATCTTGCAGACAGTCAGCGCCATACTTGCCAGCTTTGCATTCTGAATATGCAAACAATAAGTTACGAAAACATCTTAATATAATATGTTTATGAATATTACTATAAATAATAAAGTAGAAACAGCAAAGCATCAACAGCCACGCCAACAAGAATAAGACCAACACAAATAAGGTCGGTTGGATATTTTTGGTTGATTAATTGTAACCACGGGTCTAAAATTCAGGTTAAGGATCACTTCAGTACCAGATACTCTCCACTGCCTAGATTAGAACATCTTCAAAGCCAGAATATGATCTTTTAGCCGAGATATCATTATGCTTTAACTTATATTACTCGTGCAGTTTAGTCTTTCCCAACCGGCGTAACAAGCACAACCTTGTGGCCTAGGGGGGCAAATCAGCATCCCTTTGCAAGCCTTTCCGATATATTTAAAACATGACAAGTTACTATCACGTCCAAATCCAGGCGCTGAAAAAATATTTTAACACAAGCGGCCACTAAATTACAACAAATATGAAATCATATTTCAGTAGCTTGATGCCTATACAATAACTTATAAAATTCACCAAAGTTCGTAAAATATCCGTAGTTTCGTAAAATATCCCCACCGGGGGCCCTTGGCGGCCCCCTGTCCCCCAGCCTAGATGCTCGCTTCGCTCGCATACTGGACCTTATGAAATAGTGCTGTTTCTGTGTTTGGGGGTGTTAAAAGTGTATTTGTGGTTTGTGTATCGGGTTTTGAACAGTGCGTCAGTGAGCCCGATGTAGCATTTTTTGTCATCATTTGAGTAGACAGTAGCTTTGTAGATGATGGATGAGGTGAGGCAATTTCCAGAGAGTGGACATTCATCTTTTTTCCTGCAATTGCAGAGAGTCTTTGGCTACTTATTTTATAAATCTAAATTTTATTGAAGCATTTATAAACATGATCCAAATATATATCGTATGGAAACGATAAAAATAACGTGCCTCCAAACCAATCGTAAGAACATCATTTGATACTGCAATGAACTCTTTGATAATAAAAATAATAATTAATAACAATAATAATAATAAAATACTACTAAAAAGAATTGTTAATATATGATAATGTTGCAGTAATACAGCCTAAGTTTTTATGTTTAACAAACGGTCTACTGCTTAGCCACCTTGTTCTATTAAATTATTATTCGCGGCCGCACCTTCGGCGCTCCATGCACCGCTGCCGAAGTGTATGGCGAGCCGAGTTGTCATTTAATCATAAATAGAGATATCTTAGTTTTAAATGGAGATATCTTAGTTTTTAATAGAGATATCTTAGTTTTTAATAGAGATATCTTAGTTTTAAAAAGAGATATCTCTGTTAATAGAGATATCTCTATTAATAGAGATATCTCTATTGAAAACTAAGATATCTCTATTAAAAACTAAGATATCTCTATTTAAAACTAAGATATCTCTATTTACGATTAAATGACAAAACTACCAACTCAGGGCCGCAACGACTCTACACTTAGTAGCACTACAGTAGGCCTAAGCCTAGCCTAGTAGTAGAACATTCTCTATGGTAGACCATAAAATACGCAAGAATAACAGAAAGGATTTTTAACCCAAACATTGCGATAAGCCCCAATCGAAATACATGAAATGGGCCAAAAGGTTTATGACTTGATTCTCATGATCGCGACGTCGACTTTGCAAAAAAGCCAAAATCGAGTCGGTCATTTCTATTGGCTAATCATGACGTAATATCATTTACCGTACTTTAGCAATCGGAAGTTCCGATACGGTACCGTATCTCTAGCCACGGCGTTATATTTTTATATCTACCAATGTGTAATTTTATACAAATCATAATCTTATCGTTATTCATTGTGTTGTTTGGATAATTTATTATGTACATAGAATTTTAATGTTTGCTCTAATGAATTTTATCATATTTCTAGTTTTATAGGTCTCAATTTAATTTTAATGTTCTCAATTTTTTTTTTTTTTTGTATTCTCATGTAATTCAGCGCTACTGCTGCCATTTGAGATTGAATAAAACATATTGAACATATTGAACTTCAGGAAAGCCAATATTACAGATTATCTACATTTAACATACTTGATTATTAGACTACTTTTTGTAAATCTCAATCCTTTAGTAATCTTACCCGTTTCACAGCTAAGTCCTTTCCAGCCAGCGTGACAGGCACAACCTTGTGGCATAGGCGGACAAAACAGCTTCCCTTTGCATCCGTCATCGTTACCAGTTTTACACGGAGTTAGACTATCACGCCCAAAACGATTACCACCAGAAGCTGAAAAACATATACATATATTAAATATATAATATATATATATATGTATATATATATATAGTGTATATAACAAGTAGATAATAATACAGTCCTCAAATATAAAGGAACATGATGTTATAAAGCGTATCAAACATAGCTCTTCAACGAAAGTTCGTTATCATAGTCATATGAAGAAAAAAGTCGCAGGTGGAAAACGAACAATCTTTAGTGCCTTCCGGATTACTACCTGTAAATCTTGAATGACAAAAACGTTCCGATGTACAGTAGGCCTATGTATCACAGGCGCTCCATTATAGCATTATGTAGATTTGTGTAATAATAATACCGGTATTTCGGATTTGTTGACGTCCTGTTTACATTTAAAGTTAACAGAAATAATTGACATTGGTTTACTAACATGTTTTGCAACCAGATCCAGTAAATCCCGAATGACAAACAAGTTCCGATGTAGAGTATGTATCACAGACGCCTCCATTATAGCATTAGGCCTATCTAGGTTTGTGTAATTATATTTCTGATTAGTCTCTGTATATGTCCTGTTTACATTTAAAGTTAAAAAAAAGTAATTTACATTGGTATACTAACAATTTTCGCAACTAGCTCCGGTAAATCCCGAAGGACATATACAGGTTCCGATGACTGTATCACATACTCCTCCGTTGTAGCATACTTCACAATCCATGGTACAGTTAGGTGGAGACCACTTGTTATGTGGACATTCTGAAACACAAGTCAACTTGTTAAATAATAGGCTTAATAATAAAAATTGAAATTAAATTGAACATTAAAAAAAAAAAAACAAAAAAAAAACCAATGTTTTGTATAATTTCAACAACAAAAGAGGATACAATTGAATAATTTCTACAGTTTACAAATAATTTGTAAACTCGTCTAAAACGAAATAAAAGCGTTCCGTTATATGTTGTTTTTTGGTTTAGATTTTCCAGTTACATTATATTATAATGAAACTGGCAAATCTAAAAAAAAAACACATGTACGTTATGGCAAACATTAATTTAGTCATTGAATATTTAGTTCATTTTACTCATTATTTCTTTTATAATTCCATCCCGTAATGCCAGCCCTCCATTTCTTTTTCTATCCATCTCATATGTTTTATAGTAAGTCCGACATTTATCTACTTAGGTGTGACTTTTAACCAGAATATTAAAATGAATGAACATGTAGTAGAAGTTCAAATAAAATAGAATCTACCTCTTACTATCAGATGCATGAAAGCGTGTTTTCCTTCGTCCCGGTTGTCATTTAAATAACATTCATAAACCCCAGCATCATCCAATGTAATATTTTCGAACGAAATCACCTTCAAGCCGTTCCATTTTGTGTTATAATTTCCGTTCTTCGCCCATCGTAAGTTTTCAATACTTGCGTTACGTTGATCGACGACAAGTGTAACGTGACTATCCCATATACTAACGGTCTTAGTACGAACAATCGGTATTACAGACGCTTCGGATAAAAATACATACACTCTTGAAAAATTTGAAACACCTTGTCAAATATAGTTTCAATCAAAGAATATTTGCCTGTAGTTCTGTTAGTGTGAGTGAAGCGTACGAAGAGGGCGTGTGGGCATCTATTTAGGTCTATGTAATGAGGTCTTTAGAAATATTAATGTGAATAAAATAGTTTTACATGAAAATGATTTGTGCTTAATATTGTTTGATTTAAAGATGACTCTCTGTTAAAAAAAACAAATTCATTTAAATTAATACTGAATAGCTCATTTAGAAGGATGAAATAAGTTAGTAACTTCAGCCGAAAAACCGTTTTATAAAATATTTTGCACTGATTTACAGACTATACTACAAAAATCATTAATTTTATTGATTATCAACAAATTTAAGAACCAATGCAAAAGAATATGGAAAAGCTAATTGTCAAATAATTGACGGAATGTTTTTCTCATCAATTTTTATATGCTATTTATAGTTTATTAACTATATTTAAATATACAAATCAGGCAATTCAAATATTACCGTATGTATTGTAATTACTAATTATTATGCCTATAGGATACACTGTCTGGCAAAAAAAATGGGAAAACTGCAAAAATTCAATGCAAAATGTGAGTGTTTCATTTAAATGGATCAAATAAGTAGATTTGCTGATTTATGCTACAGACATTTTACTACAAAAATCTTTAATTTTATTATTAACAAATTTCAGAACCAATGCAAAATAATACGGAAAAGCTAATTGTCAAATAATTGACGGAATGTTTTTTTCATTATTGTTTTATTTGCTAATTATAGTTAAATAACTATATTTAAATATACAAATCAGGCAATTCAAATATTATGTATTGTAATTATGTTATTATTATTATTATTATTATTATTATTTCTGGAAAGTTTAACCAAGTTACAAGAAAGAAATTATTTAATGTTGATGACGATCCAGATTCAGGTGTGAATTTGAAGGTATTTAAATTACTAAGGTTCCAAATCCAAATTTCTCAAGAACTCACCCCTCTATCTAAATGAAACTTTACAGAATTATTTGTCAGGGTCCAATGAAGAAATGAGTACATTTTGGTGACAGTCAGGAGTTGGGTGTGAATATGAGGACCATTTAAATGAAAACGTCCTTGACCAGATATACCAAAAACTGATCAACTGACCTACATGAAACATATTTTTGGAAAGTGTAACTGATTTAAAAGGAAGAAACTATCCTACGTTACGCAATTTAAATTCCGGGCGGCATTGGATTCGTCCGACGCGTCGTGCGACGCGGTGATTGCATGGTTTTAGTTTTTACTACAGTTTTTCAATGATTTTTTTTGTTGTAATATTACAATCATCACTTCTCATTATGGCAATGTGGAAAACACTATGATCTGTTTTACAAGCAGACATACCCTAGTAAGTCTATTGTCTTTATATTCAGAGTATGTTAGGTTCTAAGTAAACTAGTAATGATAAAAACACTGACAAAAATAGACTTACCATTTTCATGGTGAACTATGATTGTAGCATTGGCACTTCGATTATCTTTCTGTGCGTACGCAGTAAATACTCCGACTCGGGCTTCACCAATGTAGATACTAGGACTCTTAATCTTAGCTACAAGGTATTTGGAATTCGATGTATTTTTGAAATCACATGTAACACCCTCGTTATCACAGAATGGTTCTCTCGATGTATGATTCTCATTGACCGAGAGTTTAATCTTGAGTGTGATGTTCATTGTTCGGTCGTTTCCCAGTGTATAACAACGAATATTAGTTCTCTCAGTATCACTAACAGCAGGAGTTGGAGTGAAACCCAGCATATTCAATTTGAGCCGATCATTCACACCTTAACCATATACAAATAAATAATTGAAATGAGAAACCTTCATGAAGCTTATGTAGTTTATAATATTGTTTTACACATAATTCATTAATACATGTGTAGCTTTCATCAAGGTTCATCCAATTTAGAAAAACAAATATTCTTGAGAGAAGCAAATAATAGCACATACAAATACAAGGTAATAATCATTATGAAATTATAAAAAAAGAAGAAATTTATATAGTGTGATTTAAAAATAATTATAAAAACAAAGACAAAATAAAATAACAAAGATAAAATAGTAGAGATTTATCTGTGAGTTCTTCTTGAAACAAAATTATACCCCTATATATTTTTTGCAGAGATCTGACGATTGCCATAGAAACACTTCTGTTAACGAAGAGATTAGTGTTAGCGTGATATCACCGAGTCTTTCTGGACGTTGGCATAATGGTGATATGATGATACGATAATAATAATAATAATAATAATAATAATAATAATAATAATAATAATAATAATAATAATAATAATAATAATAATAATAATAATAATAAACTTTGTTCTTTGTGATTCCTGTTTGTTCTCTACCTGTTGTTTTGACACTGTGCCTTGAGCACCAATTTTTGGTGGTGATGTTTGCGCTTTAAACATCGTTATTAATAATAATAATAATAATAATAATAATAATAATAGTAGGAACTAATAATATAATAATAATCATTATAATAGTAATAATCATAATAGTAGTAATAATGATGATGATGATGATAATAATGATAATATTATAATAATAATAGTACCGGTACTAATAATATAATAATAATTATAATAGTAATAATTATAATAGTGAATGATGATGATGATGATGATGGTGATGATGATGATGGTGGTGATGATGATGATGATGATGATGATAATAATTAGACTTACTATGTATAGTAAGTTCGATTCCCACCCGAATCAGTTGGTTTCATATTTGGGAAAGTACTGAGTATTCAGTCCATGACATTTCAAATATGGCAAGACATATCATTCCGATTAAGTTTCTTGGCGCAAACAATAGTATTGAAATAGCATTATATACTTTATCGAAGAATATTCCGTCGATTTGTCTGCTCTGTCAATCTGCTTAACAATTACTTTTTACTTTAAATGTAAATTGTAATCACCTTTGTCATATAATATAACTTCTTGTTGTTTAGGGAAACACTTACGTAACTAACCAGGGGCGGATCCAGAGATGTTCAAAAGAGGGGCCGAAAGGGGGGGGGGAAATTTGGGCCGATCGAGACAACACTGAACTAGGGGGTCTGGGGGCATGCCCCCGCGAAATTTTTGTGCAAAATAACAATTGAGGCGTTCTGGGTTATCATTTCTTCTTTTTTCTTTCTTTTTTTTTTGTTTTCTTTTTTTTTACCTCACAAAAAGGGGAGGGGTGGGGGTCATATTTTCAGAGCTGAAGAAAAATAATGACATCGCTCTAGTAGGTGTGTCCTTAAAACAACCCATGTAAATCCCTGAAGTAAGAATAAAGATACCTGTTTATTTGTGATTGCATTATCACACTCCTATTAATTTTCCTAACGCCAAAAACACTTGATTTTTCTTAGAAATAGCCGTTGTTTTTTGTTTTTCTTCCTGTACCCCGTTTCCCTATTTTTTGCATGGAGTTTTTCTGACCGGCACTTTCCGCGCTTGAATCTTCTTCAAACATTGTCCAAGCAAAGACCAAATTAACGATATGCATATCAAAATATGACATCTTTCTACACACTTTGAATATTAATAGCCGTCATAGTTCGAGTTTACCTCACGTCGACTTAGTTTTCATGTTCATGTTTTAACTAAATAAGTTTGTGTACGATTTCATTTTTGTTTTTCTTGTTTTATTTTACGCTAGACATTTAAATAAGTTTTTTTTAAATTATTTTTTTGTAATTTTAAACATCAGCAAATAAGGAAAAGCTTTATTTCTTGTTTTACAAACAGATATATATATAGTGTAGCTAATCTGACAGAACCAACTCGAGTCGTTTGGCAACGCTAAGCCGACTCGAGCGGATCGACCGTATTTTTGCCATTATGATTTATTAAGTAATCTGTTTACTCAATCCTGTATCACTTATTTATTGTACATTTTTATGGGCTTTACACGTGACAGGAAAATACTTTTTTCTTAAGACATTTTATTTCAGTTCACCTGTAATAGAACTGTTTGCACAGAGTAACCAGATCCATTTTCTGATCTTTCACCATAAATAATAGTATTTGTCTCAAGTTGTCTAGAAAATATGTTTTTAATCACTCTAACAGTGAATTTAATCAACATGAAAGCCTTTATTATTTGAAAAACAATTTACTAGAAAACTTAAATGACAGATCCATTGACAGATTCACACATGGACTACCTAAATTACATAAAGATTTTGATAATATTCCACCCCTAAGACCTATTATTGACACGACCGGTACTTGTCATTATTCAGTAGCTAAGTTCTTATCAAACTTATTAGGCCCTCTAACGGTTAATGATTTTGTCCTTAAAGATTCTTTTGATGCTGCTGACCGCATTAAAGCTATACTAAACAATTTATATAATTTAGGTTACCGATTTGTATCTTTTGATGTTGAATCTCTGTTTACAAATGTTCCCCTTACTAAGGTAGTTAATATAATTCTTGATAGGGTTTACAATAAGAAACTGATATCTACTAACCTTAAGAAAAATTCGCTAAGGAAACTACTTAGAGATTGCTGTACTAAAACTGTATTTACGTGTAATAATGAATTTTATAAACAAACTGATGGTGTCTCAATGGGTTCGTCTCTTGGCCCAGTTTTAGCTAATATTTTAATGACTGAACTAGAAGAGTCTATTGTTCCTAACCTTATTGAATCAGGTACTATTAAGTTTTATACTCGTTTTGTTGACGACACGCTAGTATTAGCTAAGACCAATGATTTCCCGCAAATTCTAAGCTACTTCAATGCTTTTCATAGACAGATATATTTTACTTTCTAATCATTTGAAAACAGTGACACAGTACACTTTCTGGATTTACAATTTAACAACAGTGTAGGAAGCATGAGTATATATCGTAAAAATACACATACATATGTCCATTATGATAGCTTTGCTCCATGGAACCATAAGATCTCCTGGATTCGTAGTTTAGTTTCTAGAGCCCACAGATTGTGTACTCCTGATAAACTTCAAACAGAGCTTAGTAACATCAGGAAGTTTATATGTTGGAATGGGTACCCTTTAAAAGTTGTTAATAATGTACTTAAGAAATTAAATGAACCTAAATATATACATAGGCCTACTGATGATAGCTTGATTAAGATTTGGGTTAGATTGCCTTATCTAGGAAAAGCAGGTGAGTTCATTTTACGTAGACGTTTAAATAAGGTAAAGAAACACTTAATTAAAGAGGTAAAATTCATAACTTTATGGCATTATAAAAATGTTTCTTATTTTATATCTACTAAGGATCAAACCCCTAAGGAGTACAGAAGTTCTGTATATCATTTTAAATGTCCAGGCTGCAATAGTGATTATATTGGTAAGACAGATAGGTGCTTAATTAGTAGACTTAAAGAACATTCTTCACGATCTGATAGTGTTATACTTAATCATGTTAAAAACTGTGAGACATTCCAATATGTTTTAGGATTACAGGGTATACTTGAAAATGATAATGTCGTCTGTAATGTAAGTAATAAATTAGGTTTAATATTTTCTAGTACTAACATTATTGACAGCTCCCGAAACTGCTCTATCCTATTGTTTAAAGAAGCGTTCGCTTACGTAAACTACACTTTGCTTAACAATGGGCTCAGAGCTTCAAAAGAGCTTTCGTTGTTTTTGTAGGTATCTTTGATCATTAGAGTAAGAATGCTTTGATCTCTTGTTTAAATCACTGCCATGTCAATTACTAAAGGTAATGTTTTGATTGGTTAAACACTTTTGGTACTAGTGCATATAATAAGCATGCTAATATGGATAATTTTTTCATTCCTGATGATGACATAATTAATGTCGGAATATTGAATCCCAACACGATGGCGTGTATTTCAATACTTGGAGTATGTATATACTTTCTTATCTGAGATTAATCAGTGGACCTTTCGGTTAAATGACAGACTTACTAGAGAAAGCAGACATCAGACTGCCTAGGGCAGATAAGGGCCCAGTCATTTTATTTATTTATTTAGCATCCATTTAATTTTAAAAATACAAGATAAAACAGCATTATTAAAATTGAAAGGTAAAATTAATTACCCAAAAAAATATACGAATGGATGCAAGGACGGCCCATTAAATCAACACAAGTTAATTTATTTCCCATGGGGTTCTTACAAGAAACTGAGGGATGAATATTTAAAAACGGTCAGTTAAAATGTAGGGGAAAAAAGCAGAAAATATTAAGTAAGAAAAAAAAGTTATCGTCTAAACAGGAAAATTAGCATTGAGAACTTTTTAAAGTTTCATTTTAAATAAATATTCATTTTTGATCCATTTAAGATCGTTTGAAAGAGCGTTCCGGTCACTAATACCCAAGATGAAGAAAAACCGATATTCGGTGCCAGTTGTCTTGGGTACAGCAAAGTTAAACATGCTATTCCGGGTCAAGTAGACGTTGAGATTTTGTAACCTGGTGAAGTTGGAGTACATAGGGATACTGAGATACTTCATCCTTGCTTTACGATGTCCAAGACTGGGAAGCTCCTCCAAACCAATGTGAAACCTATTATTTACGCCCAGAACGAAACGTGCCATCTTATTTTGAGTAACTTGCAATTTATGTTTAGAAGATTTATTTAAATTGCTATACCAGGAAGATGTACCATAGTCAAACAGGCACCGTATTGATGTGGAAGATAAGGTGTTTCTTACATGGTGCAGTTAAGTACGATTTGTTTCTGTAAAGAAAACGCAGTCTACCACTAGCTTTGTGAATAACACTGTTGGCACTAGACTAACACTAGAAAAACTTAAAGGCTGGTGTAACTCAATTCCAAGGTCATTCACATTACGTTTTTCTTACAACCAAATATAATAAGTTCGGTCTTATCTGCATGTAATAAAAGCTTTATTGTCAATTAAACATTTATTGCACGATTCGAGAATTTTAACTAGATTTTTAAAAAATTAATTAAGGTTTGTGGTAGCCCAAAATTATAGTTCTGTCGTCAGCATAAAGTAAAAGCGTACAATCATTATTAATCCAGGTTGAGATATCATTGATATAAACTAAAAATAAGGTCGGACATGATGAAATACTATCCTGTGGGACACCTATAAGAAGATGTCTAAGTTCAGAGAGTTTGTTTTCAATGCTGACAGACAGGGTCATGTTTGTAATGGTAAGATCGAAACCATTTGGCACTGTCGATCCCAATATATGCAAGTTTTTTTTTGCAAAAAAATATTGTGATCGACAATTTCAAATGCCTTCTGGAAGCCGATAAGAACCATGCCTGTGTAGAGACCACTGGAGATATTGAATTTAACTTGGTCTGCAAGATTAATCAGGCACGAGTCAGTTGAATGGGACTCTCTGAACCCAGATCGAGTTCTGCATTTTATTTATAACAGCGGGTTAATCTTGACACTATATATCTTTAATACGCGTAGATTCAAAGGAAGATGTAGTAAATTCTCTAATAAAATAACCAAAATCCCAAAAACAAATATCACTGTGATGTGACTTTGATTCAAAACTTATGACCTTTAGTATATTTAATACCGAATGATATTACATAATGTAAATGTAGCATAAAATGCAAAATATTATAATACATATGATGGAGCTATTAAAAAAAGACAGAGCCATCTGAGGAGCTTTTTGCTGGAGACCCTTTTTAAACAAATAAATTAGGGTGCTCAACCTTAAAAATAAGAAAGGTTCAGAGTAAATTGTCATATTGTTCGAAGAATAAGAACTATTAGAAATCTATTTAAAAAAAAAACTTTCAAATCTTTCAGAAGACTAAGGCGATATTCTAATAAGTATGTTTAATATATTTTCTTACCTGCAGAACGTCCAACAAGGGCTAGCAGAAACCACATTTCCTGTTAAAATAATAAATTCGAGTGATATATATATATTGATTTTCGTCTTATTGATCGACATTAAGATTTTTAAATAATAATAATAATAATAATAATAATAATTGTCGACTTATATAGCGCATATTGTAGACTAACCTCTATGTGCTTTACATTATTACCCCTGGTCACTGGATCAAGCACATGGAACAACACTCATGCCCCATAATGTTGCAGCTGTAATCAGCGCATGGTTGTGTTTGAACCTACCAGGTATTAGTATACCGTAAATGAAACTAAAAGCGTGCTCTACAATTCATTCATTTGGTATCATCACAATGATGGGCATAACAAATTTAGCAATCAATAATGATATGAAATGTTTTCGTAAGCAGCAGGCTTATCAGCTCATAGTATATGTGCAACAAAACACTGTGAAGCAACCCAAAAAGGTTTGCAAAAGCTTATAAGAAAAAAGACAATCTTTCACCGATTGATCAATATGGTTCAAATAGATAAAAATAAAATTGATACCAAAAGTATAAAATAATAGAACTATAGCTCACCTTTAAGAAATACATTTCATTGGCCCACATCTGCCGACAACTGCAGACAAATCAACAATGCCAACAATCAGTTGTCTGGTCTACAATGTTGTGCCGCCTAAATTTTGCCGCCTCTTATCAAATTACCTGCCCAGATTATGAAGGTGTCGTCATTATATAGTCAGTCAGTGTAAATATGTGCCGTCTGGAAGGCACGTGCTTAAAAAAAATAATGCAAACAAGTCAGTATTAAATTTTCATAACGACTTGATTACACTCATACCATAGATTCCAGGTTAGTTTGATGTATTTTCAGACTACTATTATGAAGAATTAATATTATAAACATAGAATATAGGCCTATATATTTATAAACGAGAATGAAATTTAATTATGAAATGCCAAATGTGTAGACTAATTTAATGGAACGCACTTTCTGTTAAAAACATAATGCAATACAAAATCAGTATAATGTTTCATGACGCCTTTATACAATGGATACCATGGATTCCAAG